CACACGTCCACTTCGGAGAGTGTCACGGAGCGATGGACAAGTCTTGATCAAGTTCGTAATGATGAACTCAGTGGACTCGTTCAGTTCGATGTAAACTTGTCCTTGAGCATCTTTGCGAGCTGTTGCCGTACTACCACAGGCTGGCAGAGCTCCCGAAGGGAAGTACATCTTATATCCAGGCTTGTAGAAGGATTTACCAGATAACTTGTAGGGCAGCTGCATGTCCTCCTGAAACCCATCCACCACAATCTCTTTGTGGAGCTTGGTAGGAGCAGGTGATGCATAGCGACGCTTAGCCGGTACTGGCTTCGAAGAGAGCACAACTCGAGGAGGGTCAGCAGGAAGAGCGGAATTCTTCTTCATCCTTCGCTCGTATAGGGAAGCCATCTTCTAGGAAGTGAAGTCAGGACAACTCGTCAGCACTGTATTCAATGAACGAATGACTCAACTGCAGACAATCATTCGTTTATACGAGCCAGAGAGGTATGTGGATTGAAATGATAAGATATGTGTCAACCAATCAAGCCCGCCAAAAACATTTCACCAATCAGCATCAAGCCCGCCAAAAACATTTGACCAATCAGCATCGTGCCCGCCAAAATCATATCTCATTATAAAGATTCCTTACATGATACCGCCACCTTGGTGAATTGATACAGTATAGAAAGAAGATCACAGTCAAACGTGTGCATGTTCTGGATCACGTGATCAAGTGAATAGATTTCCCAGCAATAAGCATCAATCAATGATGTCATAAGAGATATATCAGATTGAGATAAAAGCAGCAAATTCGAACGCAACATGGACAATTGCAATGAAGACACCATCCTAGTCGACTCCATGAGATGCAGTACGTATAGGAGTGGAAAATGCTGAGGAAGAGGTTTCATGATTCGACTGAACCTCAACCAGGCTACATTGCTATGAGGTAAGTAGGAATACAGTTTACGTAATGCATCCACATTCGTATCGTATACTATACAGGATAATGCTATAGCATAATTTATACTCTTGTACAAACAGGACTTCTTCATCGCACGTATCTGCTCTCGAAGAGGGTGTACACGAAGCTGATCGGATAAGAGTTCAGTTTTCGAAAGAAAATGCAAAAGATGACGATCCACACCACATAACCGCTCATGCGCAGCGTAAGGCTTCTTCATCAAACTACATCTCTGATGCACATCAACTTCAGGTAAGTAAACCACATCCATGACAAGTCCACAAGAAGAACATACGTATCTTCCTTCATGAACAACATGATTAAGATGATGACACTGCTTTTCCTTCCCTTCTTGCTCTTCTTCTTCTTCTCCTCCTTCTTGTTCTTCTTCTTCTTCTTCTTCTTGTTCTTCTTCTTCTTCACGAAGTCTCTTTTCACGTACATAGGCACGTAAGATCTCTAATTCAGAATCCATCTTCACCCCACACCATCATCTTCATAGTGAAACATTATCCATCAATATATCTACTTTTATACCCACTCCTATCCGGGGATAATAGCAAAATACTCCTGAAAAAATAAATAAAAAATGAACAGAATAAAGATTAACAATGATGATAAGTGTGCCTTATTCAACCCAAAGGTCAAAGGTCAAACCCTGGGGGAGTCCCGGGGTCAGACCAAGCACGACCGACACAGTGTGCCTTATTTGGCCCAAAGGCCAAAGCAATAGAAGAAAGGCATTCACATCTCAATCTGATATCATAGTCGAAAGATTCCAAACCCGAACAAAAAAAAGACTCACCATGACGGGGGCGTCTTTCCGCTTTCGAAACACATCGTGTTCTCCAAGGTCGTCACCTCCCCGTGGCGTGACCCCTTGGTCTTGTTTGAGACGTCTAGACGTAGCCTTGTTTACAAAGGTCATCGCGGCGTGAACTTTGACTTCGAGGTGAAGTAGTCTCAACCTGCAGTTTCATTATCGACTCCTTCTTGCAGTGTGAAGAAGCTAAAATGGCGTGGACATTTTCTGAGACGTGCAGAGCAGAGAAATGGTATTTATTTTCATGCGATAATGAAGAGTTCTCAATCCGTCGCCTCAGTGCTAGCAAGACAACCAGGGATCTTGACCCGATGATAGCACATCCCAGAAGATTCGATATGTCACCACTCACTGCTGCTGAGTATATTATCTGCAGGGTCACCAGTCTGATCTTGAATGTGAAGAATAGGAAACAGCACCTTCCTAAAATCGTCATCGGTGGTGTGGAGGACTACGGAACTATTAGTGAGACTGATGATGGTGTCATACTGCGAAGGTGGACTGATGGTAGACACTCATTCTACAAGCTTAGTGACATGCGTGACGAACCGTGCTCTCAACACATCATCGACCTCTTCGCTGATGCAACCTATTTGGATTCCAGCGACGTAATGCAACTTGTCAAGGAGGTGAACGAAAAATGAAGTCTCTCGAGTTGATCGTGTGCGTGTACGACGTAGTACCAAGGCCGTTCAACTCCGTGCCGTTGCAACAAGAGTAACGCGGATTCGTGTGCGAGTTGGTACGATCGACATCGGCGACGATGGATTCATCTCCAAATTACCCGAGTCGACTGTTGACACGATGGCGGTGCAAAGGAGGTCGTCGACTGACAGTTCCATTGCTGACTGGGTGGAACCATTGGTGCACATCAGAGCGTCCGACAACTCCACCTCGTACTGCGTGTCACGGAAGAGATCATGGGTGAATCCATCCTCACACGTATTCGAAGAGTAAACTTTGTGGTCTCTCATCCAATACCAGCTTGATGAAATCAGGACAACAAGAACTGAATTGTACTACCTTTCTCCTCCACTCCATTGCGATATTCACTGTTCGTTCCATTATTCTTTGTAATGACATGTATCGTATCTATCAAGAACTGACCTTTCTGACGTGTGTGCGAGCAGGACCATTTTTGAAAAATTGCATGGGGAGGTGGGGTAGGTCACGGAAAAAACTTCATGATAAACACCATATTCAACATTCTACTTTTTATACCCACTCCCATCCGGGGCAAGGTGGCCCAAAAAAGTGAGATTCAAACCCACATGTGCACAACACATATTTTCAATAATACCCCATTTTTTGGGGTCAGGGCACCCCCTGGCACATATTTTTATCCGCAAAAAAACCGGGCCAAAAATAATTTTCACCGCAAAAATGGGGTACTATTAGTACCCCATTTTTCAATAATACCCCATTTTTTGGGACCCGGGCGCCCCCTGGCACAGAACCCGCTCGTCGCTTCCTACTCGCATCACACGTTTTTCTTTGCAATAATTTGTACAGGATCGATCGGCTTCGGTCAACCACAGGTTCCGGATTCGTCTGATAATCCGTGTACAGTGCGCATTGCACTATCAAAATGACGTCAACTTGAAATTCTGTCGGGACAGCACCCATAGTGGAGTTGCACACTCTGGGGGGTTATGTACTCTTGGTACAATGTACAGAGGTCACACTCAGGGTTCTAGCCAAAGGAGAGTAAGGGGTGCAGCAGCCCCCCCCCCCCCCCCCCCCTACTCTGATTGGGCTCCCCCCTGAGAAAATGTGCCCCCTCCCTGCACATTTGTCGATTTTTGTGTTTTTTCAGGCATTTCAACGAAAATGCAAACGGTGGTCACCAACATTTAGTATGGCAAGACAATTTCGGAAAAGGAAAATGGGTTACGGGAGGGGGGGGGGGTACTTTTCCCCTGCCCGCTCCCCTTCTATTTTGACCCGGCTAAAACCCTGGTTACACCATGTAGAAATCACACAGCCATGGAGGCCACTGAGACATCCCCAATGTCTAGCCAAACAGTCACAGTATACACAGTATGGTTGTACAGCCATTGTGACAGGGAACACTACTAGTAACCATCATGACTGTATATGTACCGCTACCAACTGCTAGTTCCAGCCAAAGTCCACCTATGTGGGTACTTTATCTACTGTGCGATCAATTCTTCAAAATTCGATCAAGCATACCATCTCCCTCCTGCCCTGGGCTCCTCTTCATTGTGTCTGCACGGTCCACGTCTCAAACTCTACACGCATCTTCTCTTGGCGTGCATAGACAAAGACATGAATAGTACGTACTACATCACTGGGGTTGTGGACACGCTGTAGTCACTACGGTATTGACCGTGCCACTTTTTTTAAAGATTTTATCACGGGTACCCGCTAGATGGAATGGTGCCTGGATCAGGACAAAGGTCATAATTGGCTCACCAATATCAAACACGGAACTCACGAATCCTACAAGTCTCTCTCTCTCTCTCTCTCTCTCACACACACACACACACACACACACCATTGGACCATTGGACGCCCATCGCCGGAGGCGATGATAGCGATGCTACAGCAGAAGCCATAGCAACTTTTGCTGGGATTGCGCCATTCAACAGCTTGCAAGGCTGAAGAATTGACCGCCACTATTCAGCCTGGTCTACACCACACAGCTATGAAGTGGCTTTTTTTCTGGCCAGTGAATCCCTACTTGTTGGTCTTTTTTATTTTTTTCCCGCACACACATCACACCACATACTCCGGCATGCACTGGCTGTTGGTAACCACCCAGGAGAATGAAAGAAGAGTCTGAGAAAGAGAAGAAAGACGCGTGGGACCATAATCGTCAGGAATCGAACCCGCAACCTATCGATTGGAAATCGCTGCACATACCACTGCACCATATGGGACACACACACACACACACACACACACACACACATACACACACACACTCTCTCTCTCTCTCTCTCTCTCTCTCTCTCTCTCTCTCTCTCTCTCTCTCTCTCTCTCTCTCTCTCTCTCTCTCTCTCTCTCTCTCTCTCTCTCTCTCTCTCTCTCTCTCTCTCTCTCTCTCTCTGCTGATCGTGATTGTCTGCAGAGGGCCTCGTTGGGGTACTTCAGATGGATGACCCCACCATCCTATAATACCTTACAAAGCCCCTAGGCTGTACATTCTATGGCCGTGTTGAACTGTTGATCAGTGATTACTCTAGTGCGGGGTGTTCTCACGGCACTTACATTCCTATTCCGACTCCAAGCTCCTTGATCTTGAGCGCAATCTTGGACTCGTACTTCGTCTTGGACTTCTGCATGAGGAATGCTTCGAGGATAAAGGCGACAAAGATGCTGCACACCAGGCAGAAGAAAAGAGAAGGGAATGCAGTGACAGTGATGGGGTTTCTTTGACAGAAGAACTTCTTTGCCTGACTAAGACCTACTTCGCTCAATTCATGAACTGTCAATGGCTAAACTTTGCTTATTGGGCACTGGACATTCACTACCAAGCTTATTCACCATTGAAAATGCCTGACCTGAAACTTAGCCAAACGACTAACGTATGTTTGAGCTCATGATGATTGTGGATTCATGTTGTGGCCTGGACTGCATATACATGTACACGGTACTCACTTCAATACAACCATCACGCAGCACACATGGAAGGTGATGAAGTAGAGGCGTGCCGCGCGCGACGTGACGGCCACGAATCCCTGAGTGATCAGTGCGGAGCGGATCTCAGGTCAAGGAGAAAAGCGTCCGATGGTAGTGATCCCCGTGAGATCTTCTACTAGACAAGACAATGCTTGCATGTTATTACTATAATTATTTTACTTTGAAGTATAACAGTAATGATGATGACAAGCCAATCGTGTTACTGTGCATGCCAATCGGTTGTTACTGTGCATGCCAATCGGTTGTTACTGTGCATGCCAATCGGTTGTTACTGTGCATGCCAATCGGTTGTTACTGTGCATGCCAATCGGTTGTTACTGTGCATGCCAATCGGTTGTTACTGTGCATGCCAATCGGTTGTTACTGTGCATGCCAATCGGTTGTTACTGTGCATGCCAATCGGTTGTTACTGTGCATGCCAATCGGTTGTTACTGTGCATGCCAATCGGTTGTTACTGTGCATGCCAATCGGTTGTTACTGTGCATGCCAATCGGTTGTTACTGTGCATGCCAATTCCTCCATGAGGCAATACACTACTTATAGTGGGACGAGGTGATCAGCAAAAGCTGCAACAAAAGCAAGATTGAGGCTGTCCAGGTATTCCTGCTACACCTGAAGCGACCTCATTGTACTTCAAGTATCTGATACTAGAATATGCGCCATCATAAATCTCCGAGCTATGAGTTCAGGAGTTGCACCTCGATTTTCCCTACCATGGCCTTTCTAAACAGATCTAAGAAGCAAAAACCCGGGCGGCAATGAGCAAGGATATCATGCCACTGGTTGACCACCATCATCTCAAAGAGCGTGACAAACGCCGCCGCCAGGTCGTTGAAATTGTTGGCACAGTAGCGCAGGTCGGCAAACTCGGTGTTGTTCAGGTCGCTGTTGTTGCACACAAGCCAGGCTTGCTCGTCTGTGTAGTTGCCAATGATGAGGGATAGCTGCTGCGTGGTGTTGCCCGGCGGTGCTATGTACATGATCTTGCCCTGGAATGCCTCCATGCCGATAATGGCAAACACGTAGTAGATCACCTGCGATGTAGATAGGGTAGCATGGACACAGTCAGGCACAGTACAGCAGCAGCAGTAACAGCATGTGCCCAATAGGGTAGCATACAAACAGTCAGGCACAGTACTACAGCAGCAGTAACAGCATGTGTCCAATAGGCTAGCATACATACAGTCAGGCACAGTACTACAGCAGCAGTAACAGCATGTGTCCAATAGGGTAGCATACATGTACACGCAGTAAGGTACAGTACAGCAGCATGCATCTGTCTGAAATCCTCAGGTTGTGTATAGCGCTCGATGTCCGGAGGACAGAGCCCGCAATACAATACGGTCACACAGCAGCATGTACTGGTATGTGCATGCCAAATGACATCTTTGTTGAGCACATTACTACTGTAGTGGTTGTAGCAGTGGAATGTAAGAGTGGACGTCACGAGGTCACAACTTCATCATCTCATGCCTAAATCGTTGGAAGAATGGAGCGTGTGAAACGTAACCTGTCGACTCAAGGTAGTCAGCTAACCCGATAGCAAATTCAGCTGCAGCCGCGGTTCTACTTACAAACAGTATTCCACCATACATGGAGAATGAAGGACCAATTTGCCAAATAGTACCGATGATTGCTCGAAACCTATCGACAAACAGAAGAGTGAGAGTGAGCGAGTGTGTGTGTGTGTGTGTGTGTGTGTGTGTGTCCCACACTACAAGTAGCAAGTATCACCTCCAGGGGCAGGGGTAGATTCAGTTGGATCCCGAGACGGATACCCTGATGCCGTCAATCCGTCAATCCTTTTTCTGCACCATGTCCTCGCCCACTTGCTGAGGTGTGGTGAGCCCATGAGTGGGATAATTTCCAAGTCCACCCAGAGTTTGGGGATCATGTTCAGGGGTTGTCGGGCCGTGATAGGGTGGTTCATTAGCCAATTGAATCATATTTCCAAGATTCCTTTTGAGTAGGGCTGAAACAATTATACCGAATACTCGAGTACTCGCTTGGTTTTTTCAAAAATAATCGTACTCGGAATAAATCAGAGTACTCGTTCATACATGGTACATGCATTTACCACAGATATCTGCAGTTTCAGAGCAGCAGTCGGCAGATATTGATGTGCAGACTGTGTGGCGAACATTTGTTCACGAGTAGAGAGAGCCCAAATGACCCACCAACCAATATACCCGAGAAAAATGACTGCTACTCGCTTCGATCAGGGTTGTATCATGTGATTTTAAGGCCCTTGGTGTGCAATTTTTAGGTGATGAAGAATACTCGAATACTCGAATATTCGATCGGAGAAAATCAGAGTACTCGAACTCGGGATCTCAGTGCCAACTTTCACCCCTACTTTTGAGTTCCTCTCTCCCCTCTCCCGAGGAGACCCACGTGACCAGTTATGGCAGTGAGCAACAAGTAAGTAAGTACAAGTGTGTGTGTGTGTGTGTGTGTGTGTGTGTGTGTGTGTGTGTGTGTGTGTGTGTGTGTGTGTGTGTGTGTGTGTGTGTGTGTGTGTGTGTGTGTGTGTGTGTGTGTGAGAGAGAGAGAGAGAGAGAGAGAGAGAGAGAGAGAGAGAGAGAGAGAGAGAGAGAGAGAGAGAGAGAGAGAGAGAGAGAGAGAGAGAGAGAGAGAGAGAGAGAGAGAGAGAGAGAGAGAGAGAGAGAGAGAGAGAGAGAGACAGTCAGACAGACAAACAGACAGACAGACAGAGACAGAGACAGAGACAGAGACAGACAGAAACAGAGACGGAGAGACTGTGTGTCCAAACTAGCCCAAGGACAGGCAAACACCAATTGAACAACAAGTTGTGCATGACATCAGTCGGACGCAGTGCACGTTGCAGCCATGCATACGTCTGCAGGTAGCCTGTCCTGCATGCAGGTACTTATACTGAACTTGCACTGAACTAGAATGAGGACCTGGTGACCACCCGGGCATAACCCATCGGGTTTCAAACTTGTACACGAAGTCAGTATAAACAGTACACACACACACACACACACACACACACACACACACACACAGTGCACTACGTACTCCTGCCATGTTATGATGGACTATCATTCTGGAGTCAGTGCCACTCAGTGTGCTAGTACTCTGTACTACCGGTAAGTAGATCTACTACGTGTACTAACCTCTCAATATCACCGATGATCTTCACTAACCGCAGCACTCGGAGCACCATCAGAATGTCGATGGCTATAGTTCCCGCTAGATCTATAAAAATCCGAGAACACAACATGATCAGCATCACAGCCTCACATTGACCTATTAGCATCATACAAGCGCAGTACATGCAAGAGGCCTGGACCAGTGTTAACATGCGGCCTGGCAACCTTGATGAAGTCAAAGAACTACATTGTACAGCAATAGTTTGTTGTGACCCACGATGTAATGATGATATCATTATTGTCCTCCTAACCATTGCACACTGAATGGTTCCAAACACGGCACTGCCGCACTCAAGCATACAGCTCACATGGCCGCGGGACTGTGTATGTGCGGCAGTTCCTTTTTGTGGAAAATGAATACAATGAGCCTCATGATTGCAGCATTGCCTAGCACATTTGAACCACTGGAGTCCATCCGATCTGGCAGGAAATACTAAACGAACGCATAGGGCTCGGGCTCGGTTAATGCCAAGCTGTGTGCAGCAGCCCTCCGACTCACCTTCCTTGGTGGCGATAGCAAACAAGGTGGCGACTTCAATGATGAAGAAATCAAATCTGCGCATGCACGGACGGAAACAAGCCAGCGCACAAATTACTAGGTAAGCACTGGCTGTGCTGTGCCGTCACTGGATGATGTACGCCATGCATCCTCTGAATCATTTGAGACAAAATGAACAGAACTAACATGCCCCGGCAGCCATGCACACCCTATGATACCTGCATGCTGTACCCAGCCTGGAACATAGCCGGGCGTCTCGGGTTGCATATTGGGTGTCCTCAGTAAACAGCACACACCTGAGGAGTGGGCAGCAGTGTATACAATGTATGTGGATCATGCCCAAAGACAAAAAAGACGTGGCTAAATCAGGGATAAAGGGAAAATGAGCAGTGAGAGTCGGTGATGAGCGCTAACATGCAAACAAGGGATAACTACGTTCAAGAAGACCCAGAATAGATCATTACTAAGTCTTATGTGTGTGGCAGAGAGGGCCAGATCGTGCAACCCCTACCCCCCTCTGCCCTTACTATCCAGAGACCATCCTTGATCAAGTACATGTACTGACTCGATCACTGTACTTTGCATGCATGTGGTGTGGAGCAGGGTAGGTACCTACACGTTCCACTTGATGCGTACAAACTCCCAGAATCCCAACGTGTAGAGCTTGAGCCAGATTTCAATGTTGAACAGCACGAGGAATGCCGTTTCAATGGGGTCACCGCTAGATTCGCTCTCATCCAGCTCTGTGGCTATGATGATGGCATTGGCGACGATGACAAAGTCAAAGAAATAGCGAAATGCCCTGTGCAAGGAAGATGAACAAAGCAACGACGGAGATCAGTGGCCCGATAGTTAGCATGGCAGTGCAGTCCCAACTCCGAGTGCCGGCATGAAAACACCATTGGTGTTTGTAAAGAGGTTCAAAAATCTTTAAAAAAAAGAACACATTCATCCCCTGCTGTCACCAGTAGAAAGCAGACACAAGCTGATCAGAATGTCATAGGTGCAGCTAGCTGTAAAGGAGTGACTAGGGATCACTTGCAGAAAATGGTGCCGGGTCATTTCTGCCACATACAGTGGATGGAGGGTAGGCCCAGACAATTCAGACAAACCGGGAATTCATTTGGCAAAATATCGAAGAAAAATCGGAAATTGCCGGCAAAATCGGAGCAAAATATCGAGATGCTGGGTAAAATCGATGCCTGATACTTGGATTTCCTTGTTTCTTACCCGTTCAGCATGATACACTGCCCAGTGCAGGACGAGATCATGTCACCAACATATCACTGGGATTCACTGTGGATCGACATGATTTTGGAAGAACCCAGGGACACGTGTGTGAAACCCGTGTTGGGAAACCGACCTGCAATTTTTATGAAACGTTGTACGGGAAGTGGGTAAAATACACGTTTTTCCAGAGTAAAATGGAGCAAAATATCGGGTTTCTTGTGCCAGGCCCGGCAAAATATTGAAGATTTCGCAGCAACATTTTGCGGCAAAATATCAAGGCGATTGGAGCAGAATCAGTCTGAGCCTAGTGGATGGAGTACTGTATTGTCGATGCACCCAGAAGAAGCCATCTTCACATCTGCCATCGCTGTACAGCGGCAAGATGACTGACTAATAATTGCTGTACATTATGCAATGCAGCAGCAGCAGCAGCAGCACAGTTCTGACTCACTTGTGCTTCACAACAGCTCGGATAACTACACTGGGAAAGGAATGCCACAGGCGAGGCAAATGCTTGGCTATCATCAGCTGGCTGTCCTTCTCTTCTACTACTCCCACATTGAGTAGCTCAGGAAGCTGCATGAACTCTTCCTTATCTGTGCAAAGCAATACAATCAAAATCAAAGGATAATGGTGTACATGTAGTACATGTACGTCTAGATGCAGACCTAGCAGTGGTGTGGGACTAGATGCAGAGCTAGCAGTGGTGTGGGACTAGATGCAGAGCTAGCAGTGGTGTGGGACTAGATGCAGAGCTAGCAGTGGTGTGGGACTAGATGCAGAGCTAGCAGTGGTGTGGGACTAGATGCAGAGCTAGCAGTGGTGTGGGACTAGATGCAGAGCTAGCAGTGGTGTGGGACTAGATGCAGAGCTAGCAGTGGTGTGGGACTAGATGCAGAGCTAGCAGTGGTGTGGGACTAGATGCAGAGCTAGCAGTGGTGTGGGACTAGATGCAGAGCTAGCAGTGGTGTGGGACTAGATGCAGAGCTAGCAGTGGTGTGGGACTAGATGCAGAGCTAGCAGTGGTGTGGGACTAGATGCAGAGCTAGCAGTGGTGTGGGACTAGATGCAGAGCTAGCAGTGGTGTGGGACTAGATGCAGAGCTAGCAGTGGTGTGGGACTAGATGCAGAGCTAGCAGTGGTGTGGGACTAGATGAAGAGCTAGCAGTGGTGTGGGACTAGATGCAGAGCTAGCAGTGGTGTGGGACTAGATGAAGAGCTAGCAGTGGTGTGGGACTAGATGAAGAGCTAGCAGTGGTGTGGGACTAGATGAAGAGCTAGCAGTGGTGTGGGACTAGATGAAGAGCTAGCAGTGGTGTGGGACTAGATGCAGAGCTAGCAGTGGTGTGGGACTAGATGAAGAGCTAGCAGTGGTGTGGGACTAGATGAAGAGCTAGCAGTGGTGTGGGACTAGATGCAGAGCTAGCAGTGGTGTGGGACTAGATGCAGAGCTAGCAGTGGTGTGGGACTAGATGCAGAGCTAGCAGTGGTGTGGGACTAGATGAAGAGCTAGCAGTGGTGTGGGACTAGATGCAGAGCTAGCAGTGGTGTGGGACTAGATGCAGAGCTAGCAGTGGTGTGGGACTAGATGCAGCCAAGGTGGTGCCAATTGCTATCCTAAATATACATTGATGAAATAAATGTTGGTGAGAAGACACCATTCTCGTCTTTGCTAAATTCTGGAGTATGTGTGACTGTACAGCACGGCCTATGACCGTGACTGTGGCACAGTGCAGTGCTGTACAAGACAATGCAATGTCAGGATCAAGTCAGCGGGCACCCACCGAGGCTATCTGATCGAGGTGTGTAAGCCAGTACTGCAGCTCACCTATGAAGCCGCTGGACTTCTCGTCCAGGACTTGAAAGAGCAGCAGAATTTGGGCAAGACTCCTCTTTTGCTCGTGGAACATGATGATTTGTCGGAAATGCTCCAGCGGCAGGATCGACCCCTTGCCAGTGTCCTTGGTGACCTTGACAATCCGCCAGGCCTCCATCAAGCTCTGGCGGCGAGTGCGAGCCGTCTTGCGCACCTCATTCTACAAGAACAACACCGGAGTCAGAAGAGTGGGTTAAGCTAGACCCCGGGCACAGGTCAGAAGTGGGTTTAGCAGTTGGACTTCGTTCATAGGTCAGAAGACATCACTTCACTTTAAGTTCACCAAAATATTTAATTTGGATAATCATAATTAGAACTCTACAAGATAATATTTAAACAAACGGCGAGGAGACAATAATTTGATAATCGCAATCAATAAAATGAGCTGAACCGACATTTGTGTGTTTTATTCATGCAATGTAAAAACAATGGAGACGATGTGCAATAAAACGATGAAAAGATGAAGAAATGGTGTAGAGAAAAACATTTAGTACAACGACGATTCCTGATGAGTGTTGTACGAAAACTTGTTTGAATCCATATTTTTTTCTCTACACCATTTCTTCATATTTTCATCGTTTTATTGCACATCGTCTCCACCGTTTTTACATTGCATGAATAAAGTACACAAATGTTGGTTCAGCTCATTTCATTGATTGCGGTTACAAAATAATAAATAATTTTATAATTGCCATGGTTCAAACTTCAAATTGCCGTTCAGCTCCACTGACCTTGAGATGCTTGCGGTAGTTCTGATAGACCACGGCGAGAACGATGCTCACAAAGATGTACATGCAGATCAGCAAGAACAGGATGAAGAAGAGGGCGTACCAGCGACTGAAGTTGTACGCTGGCATCCTACAACATGAACAAGCAAAACGAGCAGCAAACATGTGTGTGTGTGTGTGTGTGTGTGTGTGTGTGTGTGTGTGTGTGTGTGTGTGTGTGTGTGTGTGTGTGTGAGAGAGAGAGAGAGAGAAATAGGTCGTCTACATTCTGACAGGGCTTTCGGCAGCTTCAGCAAGCAAACTTACCATGATTCATTACCATCTGCAAAAGAAAGCACTCATACATTGTTCGTGCATGCATTCCTATTTCTCACTTTGCCTGACAATTCGACTGCACTGGCCTGCCCGCGAAATGAAGCATGGATATCATTCTGGCTCTATTAATTGTTTGTTGTCACCAACCCCAGTCTCGCAGTACATGTAGTAACACGATTCGATGGGAATTAACCGGATCAATGCGTGATCGATCCTTTCAATGTTCTAATCTTTACATTTCCTTTTCCACCTGGACTCCTCCTTGGCTTCCCTTTTTTTCTCTCTAGCTCTTCTCTTGTACCCTCTTGCTATTATATACTTAATGCGGGGCTTTGAATAAAACAAGTCAAGTCGTCATCATGTGCTAACACGATTCAGTCATTCAATACAATAGTACAATGTCCTTACATATCTACAATAGTACATGACATTGTACTTACATATCTACAATAGTACATGACAATGTACTTACATGACATCGGGACTATTAGCCGTTGTGATGAGTACATACAGACGCCAGTAGATTTCGAAGAAACTGTCAAAATACGACCGACCTTTGCGCGTGATGAAGGCTCCGTTCCTGTGAGAATGCCGACATACAATGGCAACACGGCATCACGGGCCAGGAACATGACAGACATCAGGCCGTGCTCCTACCGTATTGTGTGCTTAACCCTTTAAGAGCCACAGGAAAATTTCAAAATTCTGCATTTTTTCGTGTTCCTTGGATCATAGCTTCAGTTCTACTCACTCAATCCTCACAATCTAGGGCTTCCTGGAACGGTCTCCGCGAGAGGAAGAGAATGAGGTCGATCATGATAGCCAGCACACCGTCTATCCAGCGCTAGATCGCAGCGACAGTACGAAAAATGCCCTAAATGCGCCCAATTGCGTCCCGCACCAGATATTTCACTTTACTCGATCGTGGAGTTCCAATTTTTTCGCTGTGTACTCTTGATAATATCAACAGTGAAACCCGTGCAAATTCGAGTAAACCAGCGTGACGAAAAGTCTCAAAATTCTCAATACTAAAGTCGCACTGCGCGCTTTTGAAATTGCCGCGATCGCGGCTCAACTTACGAGTGATTTATCTCGGGAACCGTTGCTCGCAGCGCTTCGCAGATTGTTTCTCCCGACAGGTGAGAGTTTTCTCTTCGCCCTGGATATTTCGATCACTGGATTTAAGCGAGATTGGACTGAGTTACGATCTTTTGAAGTTTTGCATTTGAATGCGTCGTTTACGACGCATTCAAGTATGGGGCGGCTCTTAAAGGGTTAAAATGGACTACAATACTGTTGGGCGTCGAAGAACGGCCAGGCTAGAATTTCACCAATTCTCAAAAATGGCCAGGCTAGAATTTCACCAATTCTCAAGAACGGCCAGGCTAGAATTTCACCAATTCTCAAGAACGGCCAGGCTAGAATTTCACCAATTCTCAAGAACGGCCAGGCTAGAATTTCACCCCAATTCTCAAGAACGGCCAGGCTAGAATTTCACCAATTCTCAAGAACGGCCAGGCTAGAATTTCACCCCAATTCTTAAGAACGGCCAGGCTAGAATTTCACCAATTCTCAAGAACGGCCAGGCTAGAATTTCACCCCAATTCTTAAGAACGGCCAGGCTAGAATTTCACCCCAATTCTTAAGAACGGCCAGGCTAGAATTTCACCCCAATTCTTAAGAACGGCCAGGCTAGAATTTCACCCCAATTCTTAAGAACGGCCAGGCTAGAATTTCACCCCAATTCTTAAGAACGGCCAGGCTAGAATTTCACCCCAATTCTTAAGAACGGCCAGGCTAGAATTTCACCCCAATTCTTAAGAACGGCCAGGCTAGAATTTCACCCCAATTCTTAAGAACGGCCAGGCTAGAATTTCACCCCAATTCTTAAGAACGGCCAGGCTAGAATTTCACCCCAATTCTTAAGAACGACCAGGCTAGAATTTCACCCCAATTCTTAAGAACGGCCAGGCTAGAATTTCACCCCAATTCTTAAGAACGGCCAGGCTAGAATTTCACCCCAATTCTTAAGAACGGCCAGGCTAGAATTTCACCCCAATTCTTAAGAACGGCCAGGCTAGAATTTCACCCCAATTCTTAAGAACGGCCAGGCTAGAATTTCACCCCAATTCTTAAGAACGGCCAGGCTAGAATTTCACCCCAATTCTTAAGAACGGCCAGGCTAGAATTTCACCCCAATTCTTAAGAACGGCCAGGCTAGAATTTCACCCCAATTCTTAAGAACGGCCAGGCTAGAATTTCACCCCAATTCTTAAGAACGGCCAGGCTAGAATTTCACCCCAATTCTTAAGAACGGCCAGGCTAGAATTTCACCCCAATTCTTAAGAACGGCCAGGCTAGAATTTCATATAACTGTACATGTAAGACTGTACCATCGAATAAGAATGAAACTGCTGTGTTCGCTAAAAATAAGAACGGACTAGTCTAGAACCCTGCCCCCCCCCCCCCCCCCCCCCCCAGTTCTTCGGCGCCCGACACTACTGTACTGTATACACTACCCGGGAGGTAGGAGGTAGATTGGGAATATTTCGAGTACATCCTGCTGCATGCAGCAAGGAAGATTCACCGCTGAGCATGCAATCCCATTGCTTATCACCCACTATTAATATTAAAGTGCATTCATGCAAGTGTGGCCGGATTGCCACTCTCGCTTATGCCGTTCAGGACACCATGCAGAGAATGAAGAGACAGACAGAGACAGACATACACAGAGAAAGAGAGAGAGAGAGAGAGAGAGAGAGAGAGAGAGAGAGAGAGAGAGAGAGAGAGAGAGAGAGAGAGAGAGAGAGAGAGAGAGAGAGAGAGACAGACAGACAGACAGAGAGAGAGACAGAGAGACAGAGAGAGACAGAGAGACAGAGAGAGACAGAGAGAGGCAGAGACAGACAGAGAGAGAGACAGAGAGAGAGAGAGAGTCAAAGCCACAGACACAGACACACAGAGACAGAGATACAGAGATACAGAGGCACAGAGAGATACACCATACACCACAGACGGGCCAGTGTAATTCCGACCTGCAGAAGTGACTTACTGGTCTTTTCCATTGCCACTGAAGAGCTTCAGCGCCATCAGTGCAAACAAGGCAATGGAGAGGAAGAGGAGCACAAGCACGTTGACGATACCCGGTATAGTACGTCGGATGTTCCTGAATGCCTTGCGGATCTGCAGCATGGTGGATCAGATACAGGAGCAATACTGATGCCATGGCATTGATGTTCAGTCGGAGATGAATTCGTGCAGGAGTCCTATGCATGCACGCTGCTGCACTAGTACATGTGTACCGCTTACGCTAGTTGTTCATGCTCTGGCACAAGCCGCAGTACCGGTGGCTGCATTACCTACCTGCCTGCTGTCGCTGAAGTTGACAAGAAAGACGGGCCGCAGCAAGCGCGTTGCTCTGACCGCATCCACACCAGAGTTCACCAGGATGACGAAGATGATCATGTCAATCAGTGTTAGCTACATGCAGGTGTGGCAACACACAAGAACATACCGGTAATTGATGACACGGCAAGGTGCTAAAGCTTGCACATTCACCTGCTGGAGGCTCAATAGACTAGAACGCCACGGAAACAGGCACCTGATATTCTTTGAAACTGATATGTGTACCGGTACATTGGAAACAGGGACAATGAACTTGAACCCATCTTCGACACATTGCTGCAACACCACCAACCACCCCATTGCCCCCCCCCCCCCTCCCCCACCCCACACGCATATGTACATCCCCCCCCCCCCCCCCACAAACAACAACCATGAACAAAGCCACCACCACAACCCTTTCAAAAATGAAGATGTAAAAAGTGCATCCTTAGTACTTCCTTACCCCCATACAAACAGTGACGAGGATTGTTTTCTTATCCCAGAAGTACTGTGCCGGGCAGAACCTCTTATAGTGCAGTAGCCGGAAGACGTAGAATGCCAAGCAAATAATCTCCATGATCATTGTCCCCTACCAGAACATGAAAAACAAAAAAGATGATCACGACAAGAACAACAGCAGCGGCGGCGGCGACGGCAACAACAACAACAACTTATCTCTTATTGGCAATGGTGCCATCGTGAGCAGGGGCGTGCTCGGCCCCCCAACTAGGGGGGTGCACGGGAGCCGAGGGGAGCCCCCCCCCCCGGCAATTTTCTGCAATTTGTTTGCAACCTTTCTTGAATTTTAGAGCATATTTGCATACATTACAATTGCAAGTACCCAGATTGAAAATTGTTGGGGGTGCATGTGCCCCCCCCCCCGTGCCCATCGCCGAGCACGCGCCTGGTGAGAATAAAGAATTCAAACAAACAACAACAACAACAAAAACAACAACTTTCCTTATTGGCCATGGGCCATCGTGGAAATAAAGAATAATAACAACAACGACGACGACGACGACGACGACGACGACGACGACGACGACGACGACGACAACATCAACAACAACAACAACAACAACAACAACAACAACAACAACAACAACAACAACAACAACAACAACAACAACAACAACAACAACAACAACAACAACAACAACAACAACAACAACAACAACAACAACAACAACAACAACAACAACAACAACAACAACAGCAACAACTATGATTACGACTATAATTGAAGTGATGGCAGAACGACCTCCAGTCTTTCTATGACCTCATCCGTGGATGCTAGCTGAATGCATGAATCCATGTGAATTTATGGATGGATGGATGTATGGATGGATGGATTGATGTACTCCCAGATGGATGAGGGAGTGTATGTATATAATGACATAGTATGCATTTTTGCTCTGGCTGGCTAAACGGATTCTTTTCAAATCCAGCTTCGGTGTATGTTATTACCGATTGTACATGGATGTTATTACTGATTGTATGCATGTACTGGTCTACGTGTATGCATGCCTGATTGCATGCAAATGTTTGTGTATGTGTGTGTGTGTGTGTGTGTGTTTGTTTGTTTGTGTGCATACACGAGCATGTGCATGAAGGTAAACCGCTGCTCACCCAGTAAGGTACACTTGCGTTTGGTACCGCCGGCTTTTCAAACAAGGCCAGCAGCAGGTTGAGTGTAACAAAAGCATACAGGATGAGCCGCAGCCATAGCGAGTGGTACATTCGGTAAGATCTATGCACAACAACACAAGAGCACACACGGCTGGGTGCTCTGCAAAACCTGATGTCTAGATGATAAATGAAAAGCATGCCCTACTTCACTCAAGCCAAATTATACTGTACACCAAATTTCTCAACATTAGTGGAAGACATGAAATGCATTTCAGTTCCCTCCAGGGTGGAGTAAAATGTCGTCCAATCTGGAATTCCACCAGTAGAGTTCCTATGACATGCTGCTCAAACCGTGTCGCCGGCTCCAGTTCAAAACAGCACACGTTGAGTTGTATTGCACGACCCAGCGCTGGAATGACTAGTTACGGTCCTGCCTCAGAGCATGACAATTTCCAGTACCCATGACTCGACTCCTCAATTGTTAGACCAATGAACGTGATGACTGCTACTCGGAGCGGTCAAGCGTCATGCCGTCCGATCGAGACAAGTTGGACTACGAGTATCATTCGTCACTCATATACCCTGCCCAAACGTCAGCTACAAGTATAGCATCCGTCGCTCCTGTACCCTACCCAAACGCCAGCAATGTGCTGCGAAGAGAACGACGAAACTTCTTGTATCCTTAGCCTAGGAAAGCCTTACCTGACTTGCTCTGGAGTTGGGTTTCGCTCGAGGCGAGTTGGCCGACTGGCCTGTGCATCGGTGATGTATGTACTGGCCAGTAAGAGTTCCTGCAAGCGGCAGAGTGTGTGCACAATTCAGTCATGCCACATACCTTCATTATCATCTTCATAATGGGCATTGTGTGTGGGGGGGGGGGGGGGGTGTGCATGTGGCCAAATGGGGTAGATGGTACCCTCCCCCCCCCCCCCCCCCCCTCAAATCTACCCCACGTTGACCCATACAAAGGAGAGGAGATGAAGGTATACTATACATGGGGCAAGGCATACACTACTAATTTTGTACACAGCTTGTAGATTGTACAAGTACGAACTGACAGCCGCGCTATGTCTGCATAGGGTACAGACACTGGCTATGCACAACCTTACCAAAGTCGCTCACAAGCAACTTGCCTAAGCGTCTACAGTGCTACTGCAGGCCGGTACGGCTTACCCATTCAGAGAGTTGACGCTTCTTCATGACAGTCTTCTTGGACGAATGGCGGGGGATGACTTGGTAAGCGGTGGCAGCATCACGTTCTCCTCCTCCTCCTCCTCCTCCCCCTTCTCCTTCCTCTATTATACCATTCATTGGACGAGGCTGATCCACTGCCGCTGCAGCGCGTTCCACTTCGCTCGATGGGTGCAACTTGTCAGCATGACTCTCTTCGTATCGTTGCCGATCGTCGCTACTGTTGTTGTCCCGACTGCCGCCCTGCTTCAGGCTGGTGGTGGCCGGAGCACTGGCGCTGATAACCGTGTCGGCGTTAGCATACTCGACGTCGTCAGCGAATGAGCTTCCTCCTCTGCCTCTGGAAACGGCCACACCGGCTGCTACACTTCTCGCCGTGGCCTGGGACATGATAAGGAGAATCGACTCGTTGCCCTAGCTAGCTCGGCGGATAACACATCGACTAACGTTATAGTACACTCCTGTGCCCGCCCCTGCGCTTCTCTTACTAGTCTTCGCGGGTCGCTTGGGGTCTCCCAGCTGTCCAATCCGAGAACGAAGGAAAAGCGAATAGAAGAGAAGATTTAGAGGAGTTGAAGCTGCCGCTTCACGAATATGGTGTTGGCTCCGAACTCCTACTGGCCTGCAGCGCGCCGTGCACCTGACGTTGATTAGGGGAGAGAAGAATCGTCTGTACTTGACAGGTAGCGTTACGAGTATGGACTGCCACTGTGCCAGCGCTTTGTTATCACTGCGAAATGTCCAGAAGAAGAAAGTCTTGTTCTGGTCTGGACTGAATTAATTTCACTCCAAAATGAGCTCTCCATGGAATAGGCGCTAGGCGACAACAGCATCATGTAGTTGGACGGAGAGGAGACCAAACCGGACTTTGCAAGCACATAATTTCCCCATACATGCAAACTGCATTCGCATTATGCGTAGCACTGGCAGGCTGGTGGGGCGGGTCGCGACTGATGTAGATCGAGCCGTCTACATTATACATGTCTATTATTTTGACTGTACTACCGGCATGTAGATTTACGCCGAAGTCCTGGTCCAGACTGACTGCGGTCAAAATGAATGTTGAGGCAGCTAGCAGCCCTTACACGCCGCACCATGGATTGGTCAATCGGTGGTCTGCAAAAAGTGCGTTGCGTAGTGCCGCACTTGCATGCATGCAGGCTCCCTGCCGTAATTACATATTTATCCATCATATCTCCGGGAGAGAGGGGGGGGGGGGGGGGGGGGGGATGTTCTAGCCTACAAGTAAGTTTCTACAGCTTTACAAGGTTACAAGGTTACATGTGTTTGCTCCATGTATATAGTCATGTGACAGTGTTTGCTCCATGTATATAGTCATGTGACAGTGTTTGCTCCATGTATATAGTACAGCAGACAGTACATGGTGTAATACTGGTATACACCCGGACGGTATACATATTCTCAGCCGGGTGCACATGGAGGCAATGCCAGTGGTACTATCAGGCACAATGTACATGTACGTGTGTATGGATAGCCACGATATACCTGACAGAAAGTCACAAATAGCAATTTAAAAAAACCCGGTGGAAGTGCATTGCACAGTTCACACCCATAGGCATAGGCCACCTGCAAATGAGTCTAGTCGGGTTAAGTACACCACGACAGCATCATGGCGGCATGCATGGCTTGTCGGTTTCACTGAGTGCAAACTAAACTCTATCTGAACTACATGTATAACGAGCAACCTTTTACTGCGTAATGGTGGCCAAGCAATTGTTATTCAATGTTTTAAAACTAGTTGCTTGGTACGTCTTATCTGGGACCACATCTACTCATCCGCTACTTTAGAAATATTGCTCAGGATGAGGCACCGGCCTGAGCACAGAAAACTGCCGGAGTATGCACCTTGATTCCCAGGAGTTTCCCCGCAGCATTGCACACATGGAGATCTACAATGTACATGTTCACACGGTCTGTGTAGACTACAGCGTAGATACTGATAGTATGGATTCCCAGGAGTTTCCCGGCCAGCGTGTAGATATCTAGATCTACATGTTCTCTATAGGCTGCAGTGTAAATCGTATGGGTAACACAGTCCTCCCTCAAGTATCCCAGTACTTGCTACTCTGCCCCACAACGCCCCAACCAGCCGGCCAGTTCAATCTGTGCCCACTAATGCCGGTTACTGATGCATGGAGATAATTGCATGCTGCACTAATTTTTAACTTAGTACAATGTAAAGTGATGGACAGCGTGACAAGGGACTCCCCCATTGAAGTATTTGAGTGAAGTGGAACAACACTAAAATTTTAAACACTCTGCTCAGTTTTAGCAGCATTGGTGCATTACACCTGAACAAACCAGTGCACTTGTCCACAGGGTGGCCATTGTAACTTACGCTGGATGCAGGGTTGCATCAATGCAGAAAATTGAAGTTCTAGTCTTTCAGATTGCACTAGTGGCTGTGCAGAGTAGAAAGACAAGCACCAGCTGACGTACAGCATGTATAGTTGATGCACTACTCAATGTGATGCACCGTACATGTATAGTTGATGCACTACTCAATGTGATGCACTGTGCATGTATCAACGTGCGACCTATGTCGAGTATACGCGCACAATTGGCAAACTCATATACATGCACATGTATACAGGAAGGTTTCCAGGAAAAAGAGGAGCGTGTGGCCATATTTTCTTTCCGGCCTCGGGAGAGTGGGTTCAGCTTTCCGCTCACTCATCGGAAGTTGCGGGATGCACCCAATATCGAAATTGATTGTGTAATTGTTGTCAGAATCAGTGTTAACCCTCCAACGAAGGCCGGGGTTACCCCAATAGCGCCCAACGCGGGGCACGCACCTCCAATTAGGAGTATCAAGGTCTACTGCTAGATGAAACCGTATTCATCATGATAGGGGCACTGTTTGCTATCATGCACATCATGGGACGCGACCAAGAGTTGCTGTACAGCTGGTGCCGACTAACTTGGGGGACTGATGATGTCTAAATCACGCAAGTTGGAACGAGGTACAGTACGTACCGCCTATAGGGTTGGTGGCTATTCATATACCGGCTATAGTGATCACATATACCGGCTATAGTGATCACATTGTTTCATTCGCAATACCTAAGCATACTCAGCTATCGCGCACCGGAGGATGCAATACCTAAGCATACTCAGCTATCGCGGCGTACCGGAGGATGCAGTTATCGCGTAGAGTAATACTGTAAGATCATAACTGAACTTTTTTTTGTTTCGCAAAAATTATCGATAATGCCGGATGGCCCCTTACGTAATTATGTTACTAAAAAAACGCAGTCGATCTACGGAAAGTCTTACGTACACTGCATGCGGATCTGTGTTCCGCCACATGGAGTTTTCGAATCACGTAGCTGCCTTTGGCAACTCGGAAGGCGGCAGTGTACGACTGGGTCAACCTGGGGAGTGAGTCATACATGTGTACTCCAATCCACTTACGGAGCACATCCGTTATCAGAGCTCTATCTACGTACTCAACGTAGACAACTTTCTTTAAGTGGTGTGCAAAATTCGTCACGGGTTTTTCCCGCCCACTAACGTAAAGTTGCTCAACATTACGTTTTGCGGAACCTCCCCAATAAGTGCTGTTGAGGCTGTAATGCATCATACCCGGTATGAGTTATGTGTGGATACGCCTGAAGCATACAAGATCGTTAACGTATCTTCTTATTAACCCATGGATTTTGGACAATCATTAAATTGCGACTCGTTATAATAACAATTCCTACAGTAGTCCTCCATACAGTAGATTGCCGATTATCCACACTTCTCGGGCGGGGCGCAGGCTGTCTCTAGGGGGTTCGAATGAGAAGAATGTCCGGTTAAGGGAGCAGGCGCACATCTATCTAAAACATGCATATTCCTGCATGTTTTCACCATTTTTCATTCTCTTCGGCAGTACAACAGGAACTAGGCACACTCCAGCTCCTCAAAATGATGCTAACATTATGCATTTTGACTCTAACCCGTTGTAATACATCTTGTGCATTGCTTGAATGGTGCGCCGAGTGGAGAAAATCAGCAAAAACCTCGAAAACCTCCTAATTTCGTTTTTTTGTCCAGCCCGACCAGGCGGTCCGGATAATCGATCATCCGGATAGTTTGCGTCTGGACAATCGGAGTTCTACTGTAGTAATATATCGCCGATAGTGATCACATCCACTTTCAAAAGATCGTTATTACTGTAAAAGCCATATATATATATATATAACGAAGTACTAACTCTAACGAGTTGACGAGGAGAAATCTGTCGTAAAAATAGAAATCGTTATACAGAAATCGACACATATACTGTCCTATTGAGCGTTGAGAATGAGTGAGAATCGTTACCTTTGGTACACGTAAACCAGTCAATTTTGGGAAATCGTTATAATTATATGCGCCTCGTTAGAATAATGGCGTTTACAATACATTAATTTTTTGCTTGGATAGAGAGCCAAGGATTATAATCAAGAAGAAAGGACCAACGGTTGAAATGCTATCTGTAGTTGTCCAACACTGACAATTATAAGCAAGCTACTGGCAGGCAGGCATTGTGGGATGGTCTAAGACCATGACCATGATTGAGAAACAGAGGGTACCAGGTTCAAGTCCTGCTTGGAAGCGGAAGGATTTTCCAGCCGTGCTGTGACCCACAGGGAACTCGTGGCCAGGCATGAGGGAAGCATGGATGCAGTGAATGGGATTTTCGGTCTTTGACCAATTTGGTGGTGGGTCTGATCTACTCACCTCCCACCGCTTTAGGAGCTGCATCTGCGCCGTGATCTTTGAAGGCAGTGGCATCCCAGCGGATGCGGAAACATTTGGTCTCCAGCCGAGTCTCGCGCGAACCGCGAATCCTCTTCTTCTTACTGGTGAGTCATAACGTACATGTACAACAGTTGGCACAATAATGACTGCTGTGCTGCTGACATAGAACGACCTGACGTTTAGCTCCGGCAATCACACCTCGCATGCGCACGCCAACAACGTCAGGTCACCATTGAATGTCAGTACCACAGCCGTCATTATTGTGCTAACTGTTGTTTGTTATGACTCGCCAGACTGAGCTTGTTGAATTGTCAGTGTTGGACAACTACGGATAACATTTCAACCTGGGGTCCTTTCTTCTCAACATTATTTTTGCATCGGCTTAAGTTACTGTTGTGGCTTCAAGTGGTGTCAGAGGTCCATAGAAAGAATGAACTTTGTCCATGTCGCATAAAAGTCAGAGTATAATGTTACAATGTCCACTAATGCACAAATACGATCATGTACTATGCACCCATGTGTGCACATGCGCACTTGACGTAAATGTCAACCTACGCCATAACCGTGTATGCAGTTGGTCTGTGTATGGCGTGCTGAGTCGTTTGATACCCCGGGGCACTTGCACACAAAACAATCGGTCATGTAGGATCAGTCATTGTAATTATAGCGCTTATACATGTAGCAATAAAGTGCTCAAAATCAAGTTGCAGACCAACCATAGTGGCGATATGCACTGTAGTCAAGGCTGCGGAGTGCTCTTTACACTCAAAGTTGACCTAATACACTTTAACATGCACAGTACATGCATGTTCAACAATCATTAGTGATGGTTCACTCCTACGCGGGGAACAGAGCTTAGAGCTCGGATTTATACACTGTGAGCGTCCCATCTCCCCCCCCCCCCCCCCCCCTGCTGCTGCTGCTGCTGTAGCTACGACCACATAAACTTACTCTGCGATTGTTGCAGCCAAACACACGAGTCATCCAACCGTCCCTGCCCAAGGATGGTGACAGTGTGTTCAGGATGTAGGATGGTGACAGTGTGTTCAGGATGTAGGCGATGCTCCAGCAGACTGGAGACCGTCTCCAATCATAGATTTACATTCTCACTGGATGTAGATATACCCTGAAACACACCGGCGTAGTTCAGCACATGCACACACACACACACACACACACACACACGCACACGCACACACAT